GGTGCCCCTTGGGGCTCTGCGCTCGGGATTCCTCTCAGGTCCTTGTGCTCTGGACTTTCCTATGTCTGCCTCGTGTCTTGGGGGTTGGGTCTCGGTCCTCCACAGTCACGGTTAAATATTCCATTGGAGAAATCTTGTATATACACACATGTTCACAACTGCTCACAAACAGGTGCTCTGATCCGGGGGGTTCTGACTGGTCACTGAGTGTGTATATATGTCTGTGTGTATATACAGACAATATTTATGAATGTAGGCATGTATGTATGTATGTATATCTTTATATACAGTATGTATGGGTATGTGTATATTTTTATATATGCCCTCTTTGTATTTATCCATTTATTTTTCAGGTGAGCGAACAGATGTTGGGTGTGTGGTCCTGTGTTTTGTTGGTGTATATTTAATATAATCCTAATCGCTATTTCAATTCTTCTATCTTTCTAATTACTTATCTCTCTGTTTTTCTCTCTGTCTCTATTTTCTCTTCACTTAAAAAAGTCAGTGATGATGAAGAAATAAATAAACTAAATAAACTAATATTTGGTTTCATTTTCTACTGAAGTGAAAAAAAACCCTTACTGGCCTTTGTCACTATTGGTGTCCCCATGGGTCCTTTTGCCCCTTTTCCACTAGTGCCACTTATTGTAGTGTCGGTACGGTCAGTGTGGGAACGGGTCAGTTCGGGTGCTTTTCCATTGACGTTCCAGTCTGGTTCCAGTGGGTGTGTTTTGGGTGGTTGGTGGAGGTGGTTTTTGGGGTTTTTGAAAAAAAATAGTTAAGGCGCAAAATAAGTGATGGAAAAACTTTTGCGGAATAAGTTCCGAAATTTTAAAAATTTGCTAAAAATTTGAACATGGCTAGGGTTACGGATAGATGTGCATTGATAATTAAATAAAGAATTTCAACAAAATCTTCATAAAACAAATGTTATGAGAACATTAGAATGTATGTAATACGCTCAAAAATAAAATTAACTTGTAAATAAATGTGTACCTTCATACATTTTGTTTTTCAATACTTAGAAGACGATGAAGTGTTGAAATGATTTTATCCTTAAACTTCCAAAATTGAATACATTTAATAAGAGTACAATAAAATAACCAGCAGTTATTATAATATCTATTTTTGTTATCTTATATACAGTCAAATAACACTTAATGATTGAATGATTTAAAAAATCTTTATAATAAAAGCAAAATTACAATTTTTACAAACACAAAACAACCAATAATAAGAAACAACGCCATCCCATGTCAAATTAAAAGAATACACAAAAATCTTTATTACCGAAAATAAATATGTAAATAAATAAATAAAATCAGCAAGTTATTTTATTGATCTTAAATATATTACAATCACTTAAGTTCAATAATCACTTAACATTATAATCCACATGAAACGTTGCTGAACACAAACTGGTAAAGCAGACCATGCTGTATCTACTGAAACTAGAATAGGTCTGTGCAGCATTTTTTGTTTGTTTGTTGTTTTCCTTTTCCCTAAATTTGACATCATTAATATTCTAGCACAGGTAAAACCACTTTGTCATAATCCATCCATTTTTTTACCTACTTTTTGTGTGGCAGGAAACTGGTGTCTAATTCAATGGTCACTGTGTGAAAGTTGGGGACGATTTAGACCTTTAGGCCTTCAGTCTACCACAAGGACACTGAGACAAATGAGAACTAAAATGCATGTTTTTGGTTTGTGGGAGGAAAATTGAGCACAAAAAACTTTGACGATCCTACAACTTTCAGTCTGAGAGGCAACAGCTGTAACCACTGCTCCACTTTGTGGCTCATGTCATAATTAACAATAAAGTTAAGTTTTAGGGCTACTTCAGTGAAGGTTTGCTGTCCTTTGTGACTAACATGTAACGTGAAAAATCTAAAAGAAGCTATAAAACAAGAGAACTAGAAGTTGAGAGTATATTTTGGTTGCAGACCATATATTGCTCAATATACAAAAAAATCCTTAGATTAAATCAAACAAGCAAACTCCACACAGAAAGGTGAACCTGCGACCTTGTTGTGAGTGAATTCTTTAACAATGCCAGAGTGGCACCAGCAGCCATAATCAAGCATAACCACAATGTAACTTTAAAATATTACAAAGAAATGCAAAAGTATTTGCAACTAAACTTTGCTGAAGCAAAGGGTTTTTAGATGTTTAGAAATTTCTTTCATTTTTATCCCATATATAAATGGATTAATTATAGGATGATACAGAAATATTTGCAAGGTCATTATAAAGCGAGCTGTTTTTGGAAAATGTGACTCGACTCGAGCTATAATGACATCATATGCAGCCAAATAGGAGCAGCTGGCTAAAACCAGCAGGTGAGGTACACAGGTTTCAGCTGCTTTTTTTCTAAATGTTTTACATTGTTGATAAGATATTATAAATATTTTAGTATATGTAAAAATTGTGAAGAGTACTGGAAGTATAACAAGATCTATTAAAGATAAAAGCCCTAATACAGTCAGTGGTTTTGATTTGACACAATGAAGGGTGAAAATGGCATTGTTACAAATGATTCCATTCAAATTTAAGCTACATAGTTTAGCTTCAGCAGTAAAAATAGTTTCAAATGCAATGTGACAAACAGGAAATAACCAGGCCATAACCAGACAAATACTCACTGTCGTTTTAGTCATGATGGTTTGATATCTAAGAGGATTACATAAAGACACATATCTGTCAAAAGCCATGACTGCCAAAAGAAGAAATTCAGTTATACCTAAAGTATAAAACATAAAAAACTGGAAGATACAAGATGAGTATGATATGATCTGTTTTTCAAATAAAAAGTCAATCAGAAGTTTGGGATAAATATTGGTGCTGTAAAGAACACAGTTAAATAACAAAGCAGCTATAAAGATGTACATGGGCTCATGGAGGCCTTTGTTTGACCAGATCAGATAGACAATTACAGAATTACTACATATTATTAAAATATACAATAGAAACATAACAGTAAAAAACAAATACTTATATTTGCTAAGCTCCACATAGCCTGACATAGTTATATAGGAAACATTTCCCACATTGTCCATATTTTTAAGTCTATATTGAACTACTAAACATTGAGTTTATATATTCACATAAACATTCAATTAATAAAGAGTGTCTTTTATTACCTGATATTGAAGACTGTAAACTTGGTGCTTTACCATCTGCAACCTGTACGAACTGAATATTTTTAGATTTTGGAAATTTTTATTAGATTGACTCTCCAAACCCCTCCCAATGATCTAATCTCTAAAGTCCAGATAAATTGTTCCAGTTTGTTCTTCAAAACAGTAACATTATGCAAGTAGTCTTCACACCAAACAAGATAAGGATATGAGAAAATGTACAGCTAAAACAATTCACCAATATAAATTAAAAGTTTTATATTACAGTATTGTTGTTAATTGGTTTTAATCCGCCTATGACCAGATTAGAGCAAGTTTACTCTTAATACCAAACCCAGATAAATGAGAAAGAATGACATTAAACCTTATCCAAATTAAACATCCAGATCATCAGTAATTTTAAGAACAGAAGAAACTCAAAGCTCTGCAGTACCTACAGAGGGTGACTGTTAATGAATCATTCATGAAGTTTTTAAAACCAGTTTAATAAGCTGCCAACTCTCACATTCACTGGGTGAGAGTTGGCAGCTCTTATGCAATTGACTATATTCACACACTCTCACTTCACCTGTATGATTTAACATGCTGAAAAAACTATCCATGGAGGTTTGTAAGGATTCCCAATTGGCTGGCCTGATCCAAGTGGAACAAGCCTATGGGGTGCCGTTTGTAAAATTTCACAGTCAAAAATTACCACCAATATTTTGTTTTATTTAGCCTTTTTTATCATAGTTTTTTTATTAAAGTTTTTTTTCAACACAGTGTATTCAAACAAGGAAAACCAAACAAAAATCAACAATAAAACAATCCCTACAAAGCAATCCCAACCACTTCCACCTAGGTCACCACTTCAGGCCCACCCATCATGTCCCCAATCCTAGCATGTACAGTACATCCAAAAAAGCAAGAAAAACAAAAGGTAACTGAAGCGTAATTTAACAGAGCCAAAAAAAAAAAAGTTTTGATCAAAACATCACTAAACTTTGAAACAGGTCAGGAAATGGGCCCCAGATTTTCTCAAACCTCCAAGAATGCTGGATAGAGCATCTTAATTTTTCTAGTCTCAAACAAGACATCATGTCACTTAACCATTGTTTATGGTTTGGAGGAGCAGCGCCCTTCCATCTCACTAAAATTGTACACCTTGCTATTAAAGAACAGAATGGTAGTGCCTGTCTCTGAGGGGCTGACAAAATCAGCTCCTTACTACTGATGCCAAAAAGAGCCAACAAAGGATTAGGTGTTATTGTAACTTTAAGAAACCTGGACAGGGTATGAAAACATCTGTCCAGAACTGATTAAGGTTAGGACAGGACCAGTACATATGAATCAGTGTGGCTTCGGCCATTTTGCATTTGTCACAGAATGGAAGGATTTCCGGGTAGATGAGAGATAGTCTGCTTTTGGAAAAGTGGGCTCTGTGCAAAACTTAAAACTGAAAGAGACAATGACGTGCACACAGTGATGTTTATATATATA